AGTTGTGTATAACAACGTAACAAAGACAGACCATCGCCTTGATTTCAAAACAGACTTGGCTGTGCGTTCTGGAAGTGCATTGATTGCTTTTTCCAATAGTGCCATAAATGTGATGATCTACATCATGCAAATGAGGTATTTCCGACTCTACCTTAAGAAAGCATTTCGGCCAGGATGTTTAGCCAAAGGGAAGAACTTTTAAATTGGGATAAAAGGGAAAAAAAAAGTAAAATTTATTTCATTTGAGGCAAAGAGTCGATGAATGAAAAGGTAACCAATAAGAAGCTTCGTCAGAAACGTTGAACGTTAAGAGCTATTGGCAAAAGTCTTGGGGGAAAATTAATTATGCTTTGTCAGCAACTTTTCATCACATGTCGCAGAAGTGACATCTTATTAAACTCCCCTATGTTATGTTCATTTAATGGTTTGTTTGCCTTTTTATAGCCTCTAACAATCCTAATCTGTTAAGGGACCTAGCAATAATTCCATTATAAAAGAAGGAATTTAGAGATGGTGAGGCACAATGACATTAAAATATATGGTAAAACGCATAATTAATATATGTTTTACTTTGTTACCTTGCGGGAAGAGAAGCTATTGTGCAGGATACGTTTAAGAATACAAAGTAGAGAAAACTTAATTTCAGTTGAAAGAACTTATGTAATTGGTCACAAAATTCGTCAATGAGAGGCAGCGACGCTAAGGCGTTCATGTAAAGAAGTGTATATATATGTATGTATAAATATTTTTTTTCATTTCATCTGAAGCACAAAAATTAATGAAATAAAATTGCGCGGCATTCCTCCAGGGTGTCTACTCTGCCATTGTTGTACTTTCGCATCGTGTATTAATTTATCCAGCGATTTAATTGTTTTTCGTTAATGAAAAACGTTTGCCGGAAGCAATCGATCCAAAAGTATAGTTGAGCAGTTTTTTCTTATAGAACATAGATAATTGTGGCCATTTTATTGCCTCAGAGAGCGTTGAATAATACGAATGGTATCTTAATTTCATAGCCAATTGAAGATTGCGGATGGGTTTTTGTCTTTTTTCGAAGGCCGTTTACCTTAATTATTAATACGCGAACACCATTATTGTGTCATTTAACACGGTTAACGTGTCATTTTACTGACCTAAACTGTGCGCCATATCATCACTGGCGTGCCTTCTTTGCTTTTAGCCCGTTCTGTTTTGGGTTTCACCCCCGGTAATTTCCAAGTCTGTGACTGTAAAACGTTGGTGCTCGTTTCATTTTCAAACGCAACTTTAAAGCTCGGAATTAACTTTCTCGCGTCCTTTGCTGAGTAACGGTAGATGCCGAGTTTTGTAAATTCAAATGAGGTTACGACCATATGTACTGAATTTTAAGGTGCATTTCTACAAGCACTGCTCTGCCAGTCGAAGGGTCTATATTCATATCGTCATGATATCCTTGACGTTTCCGTCATCTTTAAAAAGATGATAAATTCATCCTTTATTATCTAACAATAATTTTTAAGACTTTTTTTAAAGAAAATGTTAGTAGTTTCAACTTGAGAATTAATCTTTTTGATAAAAGTTGAAGAAGCTCATTTCATAATTAGCGGTGTTTAGAATCGGAAAGACAAACAATACTCTAATGTCAAAATATTTAGGGTTCAATTTCCTTCAATCAAATTTGTAAGTTGCCAATAGATAATATGTGTTTTTTTTCCTCTCTAGTCGAATGTTTTTTGTTCAGAATCTTTGTGGTCTCTGTTTGGAGTGGTTGGGCCTCTTGTGAAGAATTGAACCATAAACCATTATTACCAATACTAACTGTACCTAAATTTTTTTTTCTTTCATAAAAATTCCAGAAAGAGTGAGGGTGGCAAAAATTCCAAGGAATTGCGCTATAGATCTTGAAATTTTTTTCTAAATGAGGATATATAGATTTACAAATCATAACTCATGTTCTTAGAGCGAGAAATAACTTGTTAATAAAAGTTGTAGTTTCGGCTCAATGCTTGCACATCCTGTTATGCAAATTAACATTGGGAAAACACTTATGACTTCGTTTGTTTACATTATTTATGTTGACGACAACGATTCAAACACTAATTGCCTTCACTTGCCTTTCGCCAAAATGACAAGTCGCCCTGGGTCAATGAGAAATCTCGGAATTGTACACATTGTATTTGGCATTCTTCTGACAATTTTTGGAATTGCAGAGTTTCAGGTTACCTCCAAAGCGAATGTTTTTTTGAGATACTTTCTTTCGAAAGGCGAAACTTACTACTTTGGGGTATGGATCGGAATTTGGGTGAGTAATGCTGCGTAGAATTTTCCTCTCTGTTGCTATGTGCTTTATTCAAACTTCCAATCGAAACAAGGTTGAGGAAGTTATCGTGTAAAATTATACTGACAGCTCGCTATTCAGTAAAGGCTTCGATTGAGTCACCTGTTCTGTTGGCTTAGCTTTTCTTAATGCTTTCAGTTTGGGTTAATGGTAAGCGAGGGATGACGGGTTTTCTACGAAAGGAAACTTAACGTTTATGTTTGACCCAGGATCATTTCTTTCCCCCTGAAAACTGTGGATTCGTCGTTAATGAGAAGACTTCGTTGCCAAGATAAAGGATTCCTTAAAATACTTCCTAATCCAATTTAGGTTAATGTGTAAGCCCTATATCTGCCAGTGAATATTATTGTCACTTAAGGCAATATCGATATCAACTGACTGGTTCCTAAAATTAAATATGGATTATAAAACTACATGATGTTACAGATAGAAAAATGCAAGTACAACACTGATAAAAATCGAAAACCCAGCAAAAATCGGCAATAAAGAACCAAGGTGGATTAAAAAAATTAATTGATTGAATGAAAATTTTGCTCTTGTAATAACAAGGAACTCAATGTACTAATGATGATTTTATCTTATTTGGTATTAATCTGTTTCTGTGCAGATGCTAGTCACTGGAATTGTGGGTGTTTTTGCAAGTCGGAGGGACCACAAAATCTGTGTAAGTTGACAATAATTAGCTACAGAATTGAAGTATTGTTTAACGAAAGCATATGGATAGGATCCTTATTAACCAAGAGTAATCCTAAAAAGAAAAGTTATTTAAATATATTTCCTAAACTTATGGATACTGATACTAATTAAGCACGTGACCTTTTTTGAGGACCAATTTTACATCGTCAGCCTCGCTTTATTTTTTATCTACAGAATACTTTCCATGGGTATAAATCATTTAAATTGTGTTGATCCGATCAAAGTTTAGATCGCACCATGATTAGATCGCTCCAACCTAAAGTGAGATCGCTGCTCTCGAAATTTGTATGTTGCTTTCCAGTACCTCTAAAATTATGGAAAGTGGAACGTGTGAGTGTTTAAAAGAGAAAAAAAAAGATGTAGCACTCTACATCTGCCATACAATGTGAATAATCTTTAACATTTGGGACGAAAAATGAAGACATAGTGCTGTGTATGTTTATGATTATTATCACTTTATATTTCTCTTTCCACGAGACCTACACTCCCAAACAAAATGAATCTGGACACTTTTCCACAATAACTTTCTTTCACCCCCCCTCCCCTCCCCTCCCCCCTCCAATGCTGTTAATCGCCAAATGAATGTTTCTATGCCATCTTGCAGACCAACTTTGGGAAGGGCTGGGGATTAGATGGTCCTACAAATATGTCTGGGAGTGTAGATGCTTGAAATTACAATCATTTTTTTTGACAGATTGGTACTTTTATCTTCCTGTCCATCGTCTCCTCTCTGTTTGGTGTGATGATAATAGTCGCCTACGGGACATACCTATCACTGATCTGGATCGTCGCCATTTTGTTCCCTTTACCAGTTGCCATCGCCGGAGCCATAGCAGTTCTTGGTCTTATTGAGTTTATCGTTGGATTATGGGCAGCAATTCACAGTTGCCTCACTTTTGTGGATGGGACACCATTCGTGGGGGAAGCGGTGAGCTTTGAGTGACAAACTTTCATAAACTAAACTGATTACAGAATAAGATGTTCTCGTGAACTCGCCTTCATTCATAAAGATATTCAAACATACACGCAGAACTCTCGAGACTGATTGTTTCTAAATACTCTATAGGTGCGTTTTGGAAACTAGTCGTTCACGTTGGGTATGGCAAAAAATGAGTGGTAAATGATAAATGATAAGCAATAATAGTTTCAGATATGTTAAAAGAAGTTTAGGAGACGCTCCACAATGACTTACAAGTAATTATTTTATCCTTAATAAATGAGAAATCCATAATTGATAGAAAAACCTCTTTATTAATTTTTATACTGATAGATAACGAAAATCGTGAATAAACTCAGATTTCCATTGAATAATGGGGGTAAGTTTCTAAAGAACCTGTGGTGCTGTGCCGGTGGGTGTAACAGGGTAATATAGTATTATCAACTGAGTTGATAACGTACATTGGCCACCGTAAAGAGTTTAAACGAAAGCTGACGTTTGGAGCGGTAGCCGTTCGTCATCGCTCTAACTAACGCTTCAAACGTCAGCTTTTTAATTCTTTATGGTGGCCAATTTACGTTATCAACTCAGTTGATAATATTGTATTACAGATTTCAATTAGGATTCAATGTAAGAATTGTTTCTCTACCTCGTTCCAGGTGCGGGGTCAACAGCTGCAGTTTAACGACAACCCTGCGTTCGACAAAGCTAAGGGGAGCGAAGGAGTTCTCGTATCTATTCCATTTAAAGAGGAACTCGAAAGAACCACTGATGTTGGAACATTTTCACCAGGGGTTCAGGAGCAGCGGCCTCAAACGTTCCCTCTACGTATCATTGGAAATACCCAGGTCCACCCTCAAACGGTTGACCCAATCCATGGCTAATTTACTAAGTCAAAATAAACAGTCATGCAAGTTAAACAAACGAAACCCTTCCTTGGGATCTGAATTTTACCGAACAAACATTTTAACCACAACTTTTTTTGCCCACATATTCCGTGATTCATCGAAAGAAGCAAATTTTAAAAGACGAATTTTCAAGGGAAATTTTTGATAAACCTGTTAGAGAGTTCTCGCTTGAATGCGATTTTGTCCATTGAATAAAATCCTAAGTTTTCCTTAACCGTGCAACGTGAAAAAATTGCAGCTGATTACAAAAGAGGAAACTATTTTTCACGCAGACTATGTGTATGCTACGTTACGAAATAATTGCTTTTAGCTATGCGTATGTCGAGGTATCGAACACGGCACCTCGATCAATTCTCCGTCGCACGGTTCCTGTGCTCTTTGTGCATGCATTAATACCTCGCTATAAGCACGCTAAGCATGACAAATTTCTTCAATACAAAAGCATGATAATCAGTTCTTTGTTTTTAAAGTCGACTTGTTTTACCAGACGATCTGACCTTCTGTTGACTATTGCATTATTGGTGACCCTACGAAAACCGCACAGGAACAACATAGCCAGCCAGACAAACACGTCTGATTCGAATAAGAACAAACGGGAAGAAAGAAGACTCCACTTTCGTTGAAGACGAGAACTCTTGGTTTTCGAAGTCAGTTCAAGCACCGGTTCGTAAATTAAGTCGCTCTTTATAATCGCTAGACTCTGAGAAAGGAGAGGCTTTCATTTTGAATTAGCGTGACGTGAGTGACGTCACTCACTAAGGAACCTGAGCTCAAATCGTCTAAAGAGTGAATCTGAAAGGCAAATATGGCGGACTTCTCAGCACAGGCAACTTCTGTGGCGCGGTTTCTTGCCATAGCACACATTTTTCTGGGCTTTGTTCTCGTCTGTTTTGGTATCGCAGACTATGTTACTCGGTACTTTTTCACAGGCTACATATGTTTTGGAATTTGGATCGGTTTATGGGTGAGTTAAGGGTACAAGTAGCGACTTCTATATCGTACGCCATTTAAATAAGTCGACATAATTGAGCATAATCTATAGTGCAGTTGAGCTTGTTACTTCATCTGTTTGTCGAAAATGACTCATATTTTCACATTGTGTTCTGCTATGTTATAATGAGAAGATTTCAGAAATCGTTGAGCATAGCGGTTTGTATTGTCGTCGGAAGCATTCGGGTGCAGATATAGCGAGTCTCTGAAGTAAAATGGACAGAAATTAAGTCTTCCCTGTCTGGATAACTTTTATTCAATATCTGCACGGTAATCATTTAACTTTTTTCACTCGATCGTCTCCAGTCGAATCTCTGAAGCTCTTTTAATCAAATTTATCTGAATCAAATTGATCGCAAGGTACATGTAAATACTCTTTGGACACCAAACCAGCTAGTGCTTTTTGAATAATTAGGAGATACAGGGACTGATTCAACAGGCCTGTACGAAATCCCGGAAATGTTTTCCTCATAGTTTAACCGGGAATACTTTTTATTTCTAATGAAAAGAAACCCAGCTTTTTATTGTCTCGACGCCAATTCGGCCAGCGGCTTTAGACATAGTATTAAATACATATTTGGCAGCTGACACAAGTAAACATGATGGATTTGCTTGAGCGCTCAGAATAAAATATGAAACACTGACTCCGGACCTCAGATCATTGAACACGGACTGGGGCATAAAAAACGATCTACATCTTCAGATGCGAGTACAGCTAGAATACAGACTACAAACAGATAACTAAATATTATAATGGCTTCTAATACTCTCCTTCTCCGAGAATATTCGGGGTAAATACGTCGCCATCAAAAAGTTGTCCCCAAGAGACTTCACGACAGAGATTATATATATATGTGTTTTTCAACTGAATTTTTTAGCAAATTTTGCGCAAAGTTTGCGTGAAGCATCTGAAAAAATTGTGGTGGATCGTCATGAAAACTTTTCGCCGTGTGATTACCCGAAGAAAGATTTGTGATATGATTGTTTTGGCTGCGAAATTGTATTTTCGATGCCGGAAGAAAGATCCATCTCACGTATTGAAATGCAACTATTGAACCGGGCATTCCTAAGGAATAAATAAGCGCTTCATACACTTTACACAATTGCATTATAGCCAACGTAAATGTCTATAATTTTTAGGTGGCGAGTGAAAATAATCCTTAAGAAAGTGAGATAACAACAATTTCGTATAGGATCCTTACTTTCGTAACACATTGCTCCTTTATTCCAATGTCTTGTCTGCTTTACACTGGGAGCAATTTTTCCAAACACCATTTTCCAAAAATTACAAGAAGCCGAATTTTTAAGCTAGGTGAATTAAAAGGGCTGTTCAGTCAACACGAAAATGATATGAAATAATCTGATCCTTCCCCTCTGCACATTAAATTTGATAAGTTTTTCTTAGACGCTTCCATTGTTTTTCATAACATACTCCAGCCTGTTAATGTTGTTCATTTCTAGATGGGTATCACAGGAATTTTGGGTGTTGCTGGTACTCGCAAGGAGCAAACTAACTCCCGAGATATATTTGTGAGTTGACCTCTCTTAATCTTTATTTGTTTGTAATGGCCGCATTCCAGATAAACATCTATCTGGCACTCTCACTTTAGCAGATATTCCATGTTGCCATACAGTAAAATGACCGTAGATGTAATAATATGGCAACAACACCAGTAACACACGTCTTCTGTGATCTGTTACTGCACTGACTCACGACAAAACGGAATCCATCTGTTAAAGATGATTAAAAGATAAACCTTTGTTATAGGTGACGTCACATGTGCTTCTGTCCTCCATTAGATCATAAGTGAGAGCCAACCAAACTTTGCATCATACAAAACCATGAGTTGCATGATTCATATTGTGGACATTTTCCCCTTTATTTTGGCATTATTTTCACACACCATCAGCAAGACTCTTTTAGGTTTTTTCTCCCTTAATTTTTTTTTTATGTTTAGGATCATATAGAGGTTATATTGTTAGAATGGACGCGTCCATGCGAGTCCAAGATTGACATCAATGACGTCTAACAACTTCCCAATCACAACCGCGTTCTGTTAAATCTTAAATCACGAGACGAGATCGTTTTTCGGTAACAGTAACATCTCTCATTCAATTATAGGCCAGTGTCTTCGTGGGCTTCTCCATCACCTCAGCTGTGTTTGGTGGACTGATCATTACTTTCTACAGCATTGCAATTAACTCAAATTCTTACAAAGATTATTACGACTCCTACTATTTGGTCGATTACATTGCAATTAACTCACGTTCTTACAAAGATTATTACGACTCCTACTATTTGGCCTATGAAGCCGAACTGTCAATCACTGGCATCATTCTGTTCATTGGGATTTTAGAGTTTCTGTTGGGAATCTGGGAAGCTATCTGTTGTTGCGTCATGAAGGTGTGTGCGTGTTGCAACATTCACGCGCAGTCTCAACAGGTAAGCCTTCTCCAGGGCCGGTTATTTACACGAAGTCTAACCCAAACCGCAGTTTTGTGCAAACAGTGGGCCCTGGGTATTTTCTACAGGAATGTTAAATTGAATTGAATTCATGTCCGTCCTTTCACTATTGGCTTTTGGCCCTCCCAATGAAGCAATTGTTCAGATAAAAGGTTCGGCTAAATCGAAGATGACTTAGAACACGATTTTGTCAAACAAAGGCTAAACTTTGTTTAAATAACCGGCGACCATAGTTTCCATTCTTCGCATTTTAAGAGTTTAGGATGTCAAGACAGCCATACCTGGGAAAAAATCCTTTGAAAAATAACCTTCGTTTCTCCTAATTATTCCGCAATTCATTTTATGTAATTATAAAATTATACAGTTCTTCCTAAAGGTATAATGCAAAAACGTGGCACAGCGCTCAATGTAAATGATTTGCTGTCAGATTTCCCGTTTCAGACTGTGCAACATGTTGCGATTTCACAAAGTTGTTTTGTGTATGACGACGAGGAAATGTATGAAACGCATGTGCTACCGTCTCGGCAGATCCATCGAGAAATGATAAAAAGTTGAGTGCTTATATAATTTTACATGTACGATATACACTCGACTTCAAAAACGTTGGCACTTAAAATGCGTTAGCCGATGAACAATTAAACTCAACGGCTTCACGGGCACACATGTACATGATAACCACAATAGGACAATACCGAATTAATTTTTGTCCCTTTTTCAAAACGAGGCCTGGTGCTCAACTTGAAAACAAGTTTAATTTGCATGTGAATGAGAACTTATAATCATATGAGAGGATGAGCCCCACGACTCGCTTTGAAAATGAAAAAAAGGAAATTCGGAAATGGCCTCTTAGTTGCACGTGGTAAATGGAAGAACTTCAGAGTGCTTTCCTAAAAGAATCTAATTATCAAAAATAAAGATTTGCCAGGGATGATGAAAAGATGTAAGGCTGATCATGCAACTGTGCCAACATTCGAACATTTCACCTAAATCCTATGGTTCTCAGTGCTCATGGATCATGCTTTATAGGTACCAACGTTTATGCAATCGAGTGTACACCGAGATACAACCAAAACTATTCAATGCCTCATTGATACTCAAGCCAACAAAGAGCGACACACAAATTTTCCTTTTGAAGATGATAGGCACCTATTCACGACATTGAAATACAAAAGAACCAAAGAGAACGACCGGACTTTACCGACGTATCGAAACCGACCAATCACTGAGATCTCATCTTGAGTTGAGTCAATTTTGTCTGCTTCTCCTACCAGAAGGTTCCCCTACTGACTGGGAAGTCTATGCAATAAGCTGTCAGGATAAACATGCAATTTCCTGACTCATTTTCACGAAAGTATTTCAGGTTTCTTAAATGACCACTGAGATGTGAAATCTCAAATCTGCGTGGATGAAAATCGTCTTCTTTGTCATTTGTAGATGTATGGACAAATAATGCAACCAACCATGACTTATGGGCCTGGTGGTCCTGTGGCAGTTCCAATGCAAAACCCTGTTGGTCTAGGTGCAGTGCAAACTGAATCACAGATTCCACAGGAAGGCCAGCCTCAAATGATCATGATGCCTGTATCTGGACCCATGGGAGGTCAACCACAGGTGATGCAGGTCCCTGCATCTGGAACCATGCCTACAGCTCAAGTGTCTCAAGGATTTGAGATGGCCGAATCCGCTGGACATGGAAAGTACATGACTCTAAACAACGACCAGGTATGGTGGCTAAATTCATTGAATAGAATTTCACTAACCTCCCACATGAGAGGGTAAAAAAGTGGTAAAAAACAGCTCGAGCGTATGGGCTAAGGTCATGGAGTATCCATAGAAACATACTAACACTACGTAATGGTTAGGAAGCTGAGTAAAAAAAATTCCTTCACTATATATTGCTACCCGCGGGTTCTTTGTGGACCTGACCTTTCACAATCTTTAAACCCATCTTAATCAGTAACGGACCGATAGAAGCATTCATTAACATCATATTATCCAATCACAGTGTACGAACACAAAACATTGTGCACGTGTAGGGAGCTCCAAACATGAATTGTAGGACCATCGTTCCTATTAATGAATTCTGGTGGATTTGACAACTAAGTTTGTCTCCTTGCGTTTTACGTCCGAGGTAGGATAATTGGCTGAGAGTGATAAAAACACAAAGCAGCTGATTTCATAAATTGATTTGGCTGACTTCTACAAATATCAATACGACGTATTTGTGCGCTAAAGAAAAGAGATACCCATATTTTATTGAATTAAAAATTTGGCAGGATATTACAGCAAATCATGCATAGAAGAGTGCGGGTAATTATAGAAAAAAAATTAAAAACATTTCAGCTTCCTGTAATAAGTTTTTTTTCTGTTATAGACTGCCACTTCCCAGTCGTCCGATTCTGTAAATCACTCGTATGATTACCAACCGAATTGGACTCCACACAGTCCTACTATCATTTTAACATACGTATTTCGTCAATTATTCATTCTAGGTGTGAGATGTGTTACAAGTTTGGTTGAGATCATCGACAAGGACATTGGAAGTGTAATGAACATTCAAAGAGGACCCTGGTTGCATAGTTGCCTTCGTTTTAATTTAAAGTAGTAACAGTTCTGTTTTGTTTCCTTGTCGAATTTATGCCCCTATTTTCTAGATACTTTTGTTCAAAGTTTGAATTACTTACGTAGCTAGCATTCCTTGTAAACCAGCTTACAATTATACGCGTATATTATACCTTTATATTGGTACGCTCGTTATTGAGAGAATTGGAGTTAGAAGATCGACGGAGTTAGATCACAGTTTTTTCTTTTTTAAATTTAAGATTTTTCAGGTTATGTAAAAGTTACAGTTTCTTTAACCTTAACGACAGGATCAGACGGAAGATCCAGCTAATCGTATTTAGTTTCGTTTTCCTTTCGACTTCGCTTCTTTAGCCTTAAAACATTTTTTTTTTCATCTTGCACATTGCAATTTCCCCTTTTTAGTTTTATTATATTAGTTTAATATGTGTATGATATTCAGACGATAGCATTAAACTTTGTTGGATCAACTTGTGTCTCTTCGATTCCTTCACTGTGGTTGGCTCTCGATCAACTCCAGTGCACAACAGCCCGTGTCCACTGCATTGGGTACGCCACAGGAAGAGAGCAAAAAATATTCCTTCAACATATCTTTTTATCTTGTTAATACTATATATATGTATGCGTGTGCATGTATATATGTATATTTGATTGTTCCGTTTACAGTGATCGATACGTAGAAGTAGAGCACGATATATGTTGCGATAGGGAAAAAAAAAACAGAGAGACTATACTCTGATGAAAGTAAAGTCTATTTTTTTTCCCTATCGCAACATATATATATATATATATATATATATAAAGAGTAATTTTGACTTACGTAAGACAGTGCTCAATACATAGGAGTAGAGCGATGTATATATTGTGGAAGGAAAAAGACAAATAAACTACCAGTTCATCCCTACAGACCTGTTTCGTGGTTGCCCACTCATCAGGGGATTATACACGAAACAGGTCTTTAGGGATGAACTGGTAGTTTATTTGTCTTTTTCCTACCACAATATATATATATATATATATATATATATATATATATATATATACACACATACATGCATACACATATATATACATACGTACATTACATACATATATATAGTATAAATAAACTATAATATATTTCTTAAGTTTTATTACTTTCAACTAAGAGAATATAAATTGATCATAATATCTTTTTCATACTGAGAATTAATGTGCTATCCTGTTATTGCAAGAATTATGGAGTCAAACACGTAAACCCACGGGTCTAGTGGGAAAGGGGGGGGGTTACCCCCCCTCCACCCTATTCTTAGATTCGCCTCTGAGTTGCTTTTTTGTGAATTTGAATTAAACGATAGGCGAAAAAAGAATCAAAGTTAATTAACTTTCAAACAGATCTTAATGAGTTACTTAAAATAAACTTTCTCACCAGTTTTGACGAAAAAAAAAAATGGAACAAAAATAAAAAGAAAGAAATTGGCATTTCTCTTGGAATAACCGGAGAGGGAATGACTTTGATCTTCAATTGCCTGCCTCACCCAGTGACCTTTAAAGAGACGTGTTGAAGGATGACGTTTCTATCCCTGGATATGTCAATGAATTTAGAAATGGAGATGAGATCAGAGGCGGAGGAGTGGGCGCTTGCATTAAGGAGTCGATTAAAAAGAAACAGCGCAAAGACATCTTTATGTCCTGACACAGGACATCTCTGACTAGAAATGCAAGGCCAAAACAAGCACCGCAACTTACTATTCGGGAAAATTTAGAAATTTTGAACCGAGAGTAAAAAACTAAAGATTGGCTTGCGCAAATGGAAAATCTACCGTTAGAACTGACCAACTCCTAATACGGCTTTTCATTTTAATGGGGGACGTAGACACAGACTTGCTACGATTAAATACCCCCTCACTACACCAGTGCTTGGATTTGCCTGGTAAACTTAATAGATACGTCTTCCACATTGATGTAATACCGTGCGCAGGCATTGGTGATCACGACGGCCCGCACGCCCGCCTGAACATTCGCGCCGAGAGGTTTGTTCAGAGCTGTAAGTTCATTTGTTGTGAACGCAATATTCCACTACAGGAATATCTGCGAGAAATTGATTCACATCATCTATGCAGTGGAAAATCCACACAAAATATTAAAACTGTTCAATACACTTGTACCTGAATGTAGGGAGGGTCGCGCACCCTCGAAACGTAGAAAGTTGAATCGCCCACCCTCACACAGGTTTAACACAGATGAATCTCCTGAAGTGCGCAATCAACTGAAACAGAAAATAGAACAAGCGAGAAAGTCGTAAACAGCAGAGCGCGGGCTGAGAGCTGCTTTCAGCCCGTGCTCTGCCGTCCACGGAGCGCGTATTTTCGCATCAGCTAACACCAGGGAGACATCCTGCACAACTGCAGACGGTGTACTAGCCATAAAGGAAAATAAAGAGGATTTTAAGCCAATAAAGTTGGCTGCGAATAACAGTCGTGCTGACTAAGAGGAAATTATAGTAAGGGGGGCTGCTAATGAGGACATTTTAAAGGAGAAGTAGGGTTCAGAAAAGCATTCTTTTTTTTTTCACCAACAAAAAGTTAATGCAAAGATAGAATACTCAACAAAGTTTTAGCCTCCTAAGCGCATCCTAATCATATGAAATCCTTGCTCGAAAATCGAGCAACAACGCCGCCATCTTGCGTGACGTCATTGAGCTCAACCTTGCCGGGAAACAAACAGTAAAACCGTGTCGCCTCGAGCCAGAAGATTTCCCTAGGAGAACAAGGCGTCCAATGACGATAGCGATGCATCTGAAAGACTTGGAAGTCTGAACTGATTGACTGCATTCGTAATGAACTCAAAACCTTCAAATTTACTTGATTAACCCTTTAAGTGACCAAGACAGAATTTCTCCTTACAATATCAATACAATATCATGCAGACAAGTGATGAGAATAAAGAAAACTATCAATTTGGGGATAATTGGTTGATCCAATACTAAAATCTCTAAACTAACCATACAAGAATTGATGGTCAACGGTAAGGAGAATTTCAAATTTGGTCTGGGAGTTGAAGGGTTATGACTAGTTCTGAAGACCCCTGTTAGATACCCAGCCTTGCCAGGATCTGGCATATTTCAAAGCTTTTTCATGTCATACCTGACTATAATAAAGGTTCTAATGTCTTCCTACTTTTTTTTTTTAATACCACTATCAGTGTTTGTTTGTTTTTCAAAAAAGCGAGCTTTCAACCTACGTGTTGTAAACAAACAATTGATGGTTCAGTTTTAAGCCTCAAATACCATAAAAAAAAGCTCTTGAATCACAGACCAAGGTACACTGCATGCTTAAAACTGCCATTTCAAATGAACACTCACACATACTCTTGAATGATGTCTGCCAGGGCACTTAAACACTTACCTAGAATTACTTTATTAAGATTTTT